TAGAGGTTTGCTTTAAAAAATATGGAAGTTATTCACATGCAAAGTCTGTTTAACTCTCCAGCGTCCTCCACTCCACTAAGGGGTCTATTTAGAAACCATTCGCAAGGCCCTTCGCCCTACAAATATCTATGAATGATCATTTTGGGAGAATAATGCCAATAACTAATGTTCTTAAAGCGACCCTTTACCCCCTTTTACTAAAAATCACATCAGCATACAGCGCTGCATGCTGATATGATAAAAAAATCCTCTTACATTCATTAGTTAAACACGTTTTTCATTTAATTACAAAAAGTTCATTCACTTCTGTCACAAATTATGTCATGTGTCCAAGTGTTGCATCCTGGGAAGGTTACATCAGCAGAGCATTGCTGGGAAATCTCATCTGTAATCTCATGGAAAGGCATTTTCCTCCCCTGAGATGCTGTGCATGGTCACATGTGCCAGGAAGTAAAAGGAGAGCTAGTAATCTGTCCTTAGTAAACATGGCCACTGCCAGTAGACTGGGGAAGAAAAGAGAAATAAGGTATGCAAAGAATACAAAGCCGGCAATTATCTAGAAGTATGTGTGTAGATTGTCATTACTAAACATTTCTAAAGGTGTTATATATCTCAAATTATTCCAGCGTAAATGTATAGTGTTGTACTACATTCTGGCCACTGGATGGCGCATAGGAAAAAATACATATTTATAGTGCTCCTCAGCTCCATCTAGTGGCCATCATTTATTACTAATGTAAGTCGATGGAGAGACCCTCCACACTCCCCACAGCAGTCCCGGCCAGATAAGAAAAAAAGTGGTGCTCGCAGTGATGAATTACCACGGATGGCGCCGTGCAAACACAGGAAAGTCAGGAAATCACCAGCACTCAGTAGTAAAGATAAATATGTCCCTTTTTATTGGACAGAAAGCGTCACAGACATCCAAATAAACGTTTTGGGGCCGCGCAGGGTCCCTTCCTCAAGGCAGAAAGATGTGACCTTTGACTTTCCATCATTTTATTACTACACACTACATTTGCACTGGGGAAAAATATATCAAGAACATAACATTTTGGCATTATTCACCCAAAACAAACATTCACAGATATTTGTAGGGCAAAGGGCCTTGGGAATTGTTTATAAAAAAACATCATCAGTTCTAAGCGAAGTGACTTTAATTTCCAGAGCAGACCACAGATTATATAGTTTAAGTTTGCCCAGGTGGAAGTGAAACGCGTCTCAACCCCGTGTTTTCTGTTACCTCTCCAGAGTCAGAAGGACCCGAACATTGTGCGTCGGTTGATGGAGTCAGTGGACGGCAGCACGGATGGGAAGCAAGACCGAAAGATGAATTTCCAGGAGTTCATGAACCTGATCGGCGGAATAATGGTTGCTTGTCATGCTGCGTTTGTGTCTCACCTGAAGAGGGTCTGAGGGCGCCGTAGGCGAGCGTTCCGCTTTCATCCATTCCACGTGTTACTGATATCAATGTTTCTGATGTTGTCTTTTGTTCTAATAAAATGTTTAAAAAAAAATAAAAATAATTTTATTCCGGTGAAGAGAGACGATATCAGTGCGGGGTCTGTAAACATGAGGGTCCTTTAGCAGGTGGAATTTAGAGGGTCAGTCCGCCCGCCCAAGAGGGGTATCTTAGCAGTGTGTGGAGTCTAGTGGGTGGAGACATTTCCTGGCTTCCTAAGTCTCTTGGAGTTTCCAGTAAGTCAGGAACGCCCATGCCAATGCTTCACATGAAGCCAATGCTTATCCACATTCATAACCCCCTTCAGCTCTCATATCAGTACACCCCTTTATGGACCCAAGCAATGTTTACATTTTCACCGTGGGCTAATTATTTAATCATTTTAGCATTCCTTAAGTAAAATTTATTATTATTATTTATTTATTTTTCTTCATCGACATTTTGTGGGGGGAAAAAAATAAGAATGCACAAAAAATGTTAAGTGTTAGAGAATTATGAGGTAAGTGTTTTTCCCCATAGTACTCCTAAGGGTCACAGGAGGATATATACTAGCGTCATCCCGTGACCCAAAGCTCAGTATACCGAGAGCTACAGCTTGCGGTATACTGAGACCGCCGCAGCCGGGACGGATCCCAACATTGCTGTCGATCCACCCAGCTGTACCCTCCCCAGTCCGTCCTGCCAGTCAGCGCTGGAAGATCGGGGGGGGGGGGTTCCCTGCAGGGAGCTGTGAGTGACAGTCATAGCTCTCTGCAGGGACCGGATCAAGAAGTGAGTGAGCGACGGTATGGGTTCGCTCACTTCCCGATCTTATGAGCCGACAGTTTTTGTCACGTCGGCTCGAATTATGAGGATGAGTGAAAAACACTTGCCTCATAGTTCTCCTTTTTAATATTACAAATGAGATAAAATTACCTGGAAAATAATGGCTACGAGTAGAAGGGTAAGAAGATATCAATTTGGGCGGTTAGGGATTACTAGGGGTTTATAAAGGGTTAAATAGGCATGCCTTTTTATTTTAAAAAAAAATTGCTTGTATCATGGCTATATCACAGTGGCGTCACAAGGGGGGTGTGGCCCGCACCGGGTATTCTGACTCCCGATTGTTGTGATAGCGATTTAGTCCCCTTGCTAAGACTTCTATGCCTGGCCTGTATAAGCAGATGCAATCACTGAGGACAATCCTTATCAGATAGCTGAACTCGCCAAATACCTTTTCATCCACAAAGGTTGCTTTATTCTGTCAGACAACAGGATACAGCAGATGAATGATTGCGGTATTTATGCGGTCAAAAGATGATACTTTCTTTAGCGTGCAATGCAGATTACATGTGTCCAGTTACATGTGGTTTGTTAGATGCATCCATGACACAGGAATTGCTAACTCAAGAAGAAGGGCGGAGCATACACACAGGGGAAATGTGTCATAAAGATCAGGGAAAGGAACATATAAAAGCAAGTACGATACCAAAAAAATGCCACTAGATGGCAGCATATAACTAACCATTGAATATCCATAGGAAAATGGTCTAAAGAAATAACTATATAAATTATCTACTTACAATGTTAATATAAACTGAGGTTATGCATATCATATTCTATGCCCCATTGGGGCGGCACACCGGGTGACACCATTGGAGGGGTGATGCCAAAATCACTGACAGTCATTTTGGTGTCACCCCCTCTAAAAAGTCAGGCACGGGGGCGTGGCTTGGCGCATGGAGCAGTGAGACGTGACTCGGCTCGTCTCCCGCTCGGGGCCACTTTATTCTGCAGACAGCAGTGGCTTTCCCCCGGGCATCACCGGCAATGAGCGACCGGAAGAAGAAGGGGAAAAAGCAGAAGCGAACGAGACCCGCGCCGCGGGAATTAACCCGTTTTTTCGCCAGAACGGCGCCCGCGGCCTCTGCCGCTGGATCCACTGGCAAATCCAAGATGGTGCCACCGGATCTATCTCCCTCACACCACGAGGCTCCAGACCAGGATCAGGTGAGCCAGACATATGAGAGACACTCTCCCCAGGGCTCAGGAAGACTGTCCCACCACGCCAGCATTGATGACAGGGCCCCTGCAGATCCTACCTTACAGCAGGGAAGCCAGCCACAAGGGAGAAACTCTCCCCATAGCCCAGGAGGTATGTCACACCGCTCCAGGAGCAGCTCTCAGGCCTCCCTCAGCTCCCAGGGAGGATGGGACATGGAAGCATATATTAAAGCCCTACCAACTATGAAGGACATTGAATCTTGTTTTTCACGATTTGAAACCACATATAAAAAAGAAATGTCCGCTTTAAAAAAAGATATAAGCACCAGACTGGAGGATGTTGAGCAAACCTCCTCTGATTTGCGAGCCCAGCTGCACGTGCACGATACCACCTTACAAGAACACACAGTGTTACTGCATCAACTGATTTATCAGCAGGATGATCAGGAGAACAGAAATCGGCGCAATAACATCCGCATCAGGGGTCTCCCTGAGTCTGTGGACTCCAGGGACCTGGAAGACGCCGCGATCGCTCTCTTCAATCAGGTTCTGAATAAGCCTAAGGATACCCCCATTGAAATAGACAGGATTCACAGAACACTAGGGGTTAAACGTCCTGACCGCTCCAACCCCAGAGATGTTATATGCAGGATCCACTTCTTCAAGCTCAAAGATGACATCATGAGGGCAGCCCGTATGCAAGACGCAATTTTATTCAATGACTGCCCTATAATGCTGCTACCTGATCTATCAGGACACACGCTTACTCTTCGCAGGGCTCTGCGTCCCCTACTCGACCTGCTACGCCAACGCAACATCAAATACAGATGGGGCTTCCCCTTTCAACTTATTGTTGTACATGAAGGCAAATCAGCTGTTTTCCGATCCATGGGTGACCTTCCATCTTTCCTAGGACAGCTGGAACTCCCTCAAGTCTCGCTCCCGGACTGGCCACTTAAACCAACCCTGCCTGGCTTTGTCTCACCATCAGCGTGGAAGCAGATATCGAGAAAATCCGCCGGGCGAACGGTGGCCTCATCGTCTTCTCACACATGATTATCGGCCCATGCGCCTATATTCTCCTCCAACTTAGTTGTCTCAGATGAGACATTTTCTTTGCGGGAGTGAATGCCTCCTGCCGCACGCCGATTGATGCCCGGTGCCCCACCTGGGATGTTTGCTGTGGACGCCAACCACGGCTGCTGCTGTCGTTCATATTGTTACATGTTGTTCTTATGTTAATATACTTCATGGAACTAGTCTACTATGCCAAAATTGTATTTGTTTTCATTGTACCCTTTAGCTACCATGTTTGCACTATGTTCATGTGCCCTAGAGCGGGAGAAACTCCCTGTGCTCTCCACGTTACCCCCACTTAGGCCGTCAGTGAGTGTGCTCGCTGACATTTTACATACCTATAGGGTTTACTGGACCATACGTTGTTCACCAAAATGTTATACTCTCCGAACGCCACTAGGTGGCGGGGGAGAGCTTGTTTTCTACTATGTCTTCTCTTCCTCCTTTCCTCTCCTTGCTTCGCTGTCTCCCCTTTCCTGGCTCCCTCCCTCCCTCTTCCCTTCCTTCCCCCGGGTGAGGTACACACAGCCATGTTAGAACTCCTTAAGCCCCCATGATGACTACCCTCCATATTGCTTTGGCGACCCTCAATGTGAGAGGCTTCAACACCCCTCAAAAGCGCAGTCAGGTGCTCTATCATTTTCATAAACGCAAAGTAGGGATCTTGTTCTTGCAGGAAACTCATTTCCGCACCGATACCATCCCCAGAATACCAACTAAATACTATCCTGATTGGTATCACAGCACTAATTCTGTTGCACGGTCCAAAGGTGTTTCTATCGCCTTTCACAAGACTCTGCACCCCAAGATCCTGCAACAGCAAGCGGACCCTCTCGGTAGATTCCTTTTCCTGAAGGTAAAAATGTATGATCATGTCTATACTTTGGCTAATGTCTATTTCCCAAACCAGGACCAACTGACCTTCCTTGCACACTTAGCCACGGCTCTGGAGAATTTTGGATGTCCTAACCTGATACTGGGAGGAGAGTTCAACATAACAATGGTGCCCTGTCTAGACTCTTCTTCCGGTAAGTCCCAGCTCTCTCACACGTCCCTTACTAAACTCAGAAATATACTACTTAAGCTCGGACTAGTAGATGTGTGGCGGGCCCTCCATACAACTGAGAGAGATTATACGTATTTCTCTCCGGCCCACAACTCGTACAGTAGCGTAGATTATTTGTTCCTTGCCCAACATTTGCTTGACTCGACACCCTTTGCCAACATTGGTCTCTGCATCTGGTCTGACCATGCCCCCGTCTTTCTCACTCTAGGTGTTCCCAGTGTTCGACACACGCGTTTCTCGTGGCGACTGAACGACAATTTGTTAAACGATCCCCTATGCTTAGACGAGATAAAGACTGCAGTGCGGAATTTTACATCGGACCATGCCAGTGACAATACCCACCCGCTGACCCAATGGGAAGCGCTGAAATGCGTGGTTCGAGGCGTTTTTATAAAACACAGATCTCGCCTCAAGAAAGCTAGAGCCACCCGCATAACTGAACTCCTGGCTTCTATAGCGACAATGGAGGGAATACATAAAGCTACACGACTTGATACCACTTATGTGGAACTATCGAACGCCCGACGGGAATTGTTATCTATATTAGACACCAGTTCACTCATTGCTCGGGATAGGGCTTGTAAAGTAAACTACGAATCTGCTAACAAATGTGGCCGACACCTGGCTAGAACATTACATCCTCGCCCCCCAAGGGCCTTTATCCCTTTTATTTTAAACCGTCAGTCCTCTAAACTGCACTCCACCCAGAGCATTGCAAGTGAATTCCGTAGATATTACGCGGGTCTATACAACCTCCCTCCTCCGCCCCAAATCGAGATAACCGAAAAAGATCCCGATTCTCTGGCACGCTACATTTCGCAAACTGCACTGCCGACTATAGAGCACACTGAGGCACTGAAGCTGGAGTCCCCTTTCTCTCAATCTGAGGTAGAGGGTGCTTTCCGGTCCTTGAAGACGGGTAA